TGTCCAATATTTGGCTGCTGTGTCTGTTTATGCTCAGTGGCCGTCGGCGGTGGGACGGTCCGTGTCTCCACCCATATGTACCGTGTGCAGGCGTTAACAGCGTTCTCCTGCCGACAGCTGTCGGGCCTGGCCGTGTTCGGTGTGGCCGTGTGGTCACTGGCCGCCGAGCCGCACTACATCCTGCTGCTGGCCACGGCCTCGTTCGGCACGGCCGCCTACGTGTTGATGGCGGCCGGCCTGCTGGTGGTCATCACCAGCGTGGTCGGCTGCCTGGGCGCACTCCGCGAGAGTCTGCCTGCCTCCTCACGTACGTCGCCGCCCGGCCGCGGGCCCCGGCCCCGGCCCCGGCCCCGCCCCGGCCCCGGCACCGCCTGCTACTGTTTGTCGGGCTTGCTATTTGTGCTTCGCTAAAACGCGCACGTCAACGGTCTGGCGTAGGAAGTGCACCTAACGGCGCGCGGAGAGGCCTTACCGGCTGTTCCGGAAGAAGTGACAGGGGTCAGGGCGGCCCGTCTCTGGCCGTCGGTCGGAATGGTGTGTCACCCCACGCTGCGAACGTCTCACCGGTCCTCGCCGCTCGGGCGTCTCGTCAGCGGGGCTCTATCACACACTTGGAAGCTGAGCGTGTCGACGGGCGGCGATGATTGCTGGGAGATAGTGAGTGGTGCATGTCGCGGATGTAAACGTGGGTGCGCGTAACGGACTAGGCAGCCTGGCGAAACGGTCGGCTCAGCACGGCAGGCGCAGGCGGCAGCCAGTCTCCTGCGACGGGCGCGCCGGTCACACGCGGCGGGTGTTTCAGTACACTTTCGTGCTGCTGCTGATCTTCCTGATGGAGTCGATGGCGGGCGTGCTGGCGTACGTGTACCAGGTGCAGCTGCAGATGGAGCTGGCCCAGCACCTGAACAGCACCTTCACCAACAAGTACGGCATGCAGCTGGCCTACACGGAGGCCATCGACGACATGCAGCAGGATGTGAGTAGAACGACCCACCGCAAGCACGGCTCGTGTGTCCCGTCTAATCTGGTTACACAGGCGTGACGGAGAAATGGGTGCTCTTCCCTTCTCCCCTCTCCCTCTTGCCCAGCCATGGCGGCGTGCGGAGTCGGAGTGAACCCCGAGTCGCGTGACGGAGAGATGGGTGCTCTTCCCTCCCCCTCCCTCTCGCCCAGCCATGGCAGCGTACAGAGTGAGTGAGCTCCGAGCCGAATGATGACCAGCGTGATCCAAGGTCCATGGTCCTAGGGTAATGCTAGCTGTCTGGTGGAAACCGACTGCGAAGATATTGAATATTTCGTTTCTGCGCAATAGCAGTGTCGAATATATGACTAATGACTAATTGTACGGATTATCATTGTCTGGTGTGTAATGTACACAACGTTTCGGCCAGTTAACTCCCCGGCCTTGCTGGTTAAATCACATCCTTTTTGCTCAGCCCAGCTGTTACAGCGCGGCTGGCAGTCAGAAGGCCCCGTTCCGAATTCTAACCATTTGGAGGAGATAATTTAGGTTGTGACGCCCACACTGCTAAAAAGCCAAACATTATCCAGTCCCAGAGAATCCATGAACCTGACGACGGTCGGAGAATAGACTGCCGGAAAACGTTGTGTGCATGCTAACACAGGACAACTGTCCGGATACTTGTCCGTCGGTAACAATAATACGTCCTCTCATCCCTTTCGTAAAACTGTCGAATGCATGCTTATTCTCGTTCGTGCTGCTGGGCATCAGTGCAAACTTCATCGTGTTGCATTGGCTATGGGTGGAAGATGCGACGAATGCTTCGCGTATTTACCACCCCAGAGTCTCAAAGCACGTCGCAGACCCACGCTCCAAAAACGTTACGCCCTGTGACAATCTGGCGACGTGACCGTGCCGGTGTGCGGCCAGTTCCACTGCTGCGGCGCCACCTACTACACCAACTGGCAGTACAGCCGCTGGCTGGACTCGGAGGCCAACGCCGAGCGCCGCAAGGTGCCCGACAGCTGCTGCAAGACGGTGGTGGAGCTGTGCGGCCGGCGTGACCACCCGTCCAACATCAACCCGGCGGTCAGTGGGTCGCCTGCGCTCGTCCCGTGGCGGCTTGGCCCGGCCCGGCGCCGTACCGGGGGACTGTTGGCACTCGCGACTGATTCGGCACTCGCGACCGATTCGCTATTTCTTCTGCGTGGCCACGTTGTAACTGTGGTAACCACATAACTTCGGCGCTCGTGCGTACTCTCTGTCCTTCGGAAATTAGCCTGTAAGACTTCGCGCATGTTTGCGCATTTCTGCAAAGACTTCTTACGAAAATCCGCGGCTGTTGACGAAATTATCGCAAACCCGTTGTTGGTAAAGCTTGAAAAGCGCGCGTGACTGTGCGTAGGTGTATGCAATGGAGACGCCGTGTGATCCAGCTTCGTATGGTCCCACGTGTTTGGTCGGCCGCCGGCCGCGCTGGAGGACCAGTCCAGCTGGCCCACGCCCCAGACAGCAGCTCGGCAGGGCTCCGGCGCCGCTTGACCAGCCGCCTTCGCCGCAGGGCTGCGTGCACCAGCTGGACTTCGTGATCCAGGACCATCTGGTGGTGGTGGGCGCTGTCGGCGTGGGCGTCTCCGTTGTCCAGATCTTCGGCGTCATCATATCCTGCTGCCTCTTCGTCAAGCTGAAGAACTATGGCCGCGGCTACTGAACGTGAACTGCCGGGGGCGCTGCCGAAGCGCCGTGGCGGCCGGGAGCAGAGCTTGCGTCGCTTTTATATGTACATAGATGGCGTTTAACGGGGTCCGTCCGTTACCGGGTGAACTGACAGGCGGCTTGATCCCGCAGTGGGTTGAAAAATTATCATTCCTCACGGCGGACCAGATTTGTTCTTCAGGGTCGTTTTATTCTGGTCCTTTGTGTGACTTGATTACTGCAGTTTTCTGCTTATTGTCGTAGTATTCTGACAATATTTGGGCTATGTGTCTCACCTATGAATCTCTATCCGTCTGCTGTTGACTATATTTTAGTAAGTTATCTTTGCATGTTCCGTTATTTTGTATGTGGTGTGACAATATTTGACAATCCTTTTACACTATAGAATCTCTTCAATGCCATCCCGCTGATTTTGATGTTTTTTCCGCTGCTTTAAGGCGGGTTGTTGCTAAAGAGCACTCACCACAGTACGTCTCTATCTTAATGCGTCATCGCGGCGACAGTGGCGATACTGCTCGCGCTCTCCACACTAGATGTTGGTGGGGAAGACTTCCCTTTCGTTGACTGGATAGCGAATCATCCGGGGCGTGTTAGCCATCACATCGATACAAATATGTCAATCGCGTCACATTGTTCCAAGCGGTCAAAAAGTGACTGGACATGGATAAATTCAAAACACCAGGCTCCTGGGATAGGCGCCACTCTGTGCTCCAACCCTGCCCCAGAAAAGAAGGGTGGGCAGTCATTGACAACTGGAATAATGGCACTGTTGTTGACCAGATCTAGCCTATTGTCTGTTGGTGGAACTCATGTTTCAAGGTCATCCATGCCTTAATGACTGCGGCTGCCTTTGCTCAGATATTTCAATGAGCTTACCACATAGATAAGGGTCTGGTAGACCTAGTGCCTATAGGCTACGTAGTGCCTAAAAACGCTGCGCACAACTGTGCCAATTGTGGTGGAGTGTTTTTGGCCACGACTAAACAAGCGCAATTGCCAAATATTGCACGGCCATGACAGCAACAGTAATGCATGTATGAACCGAACCGGCGTGGCTCTTTAAGTTACAAGTGTGTGCATTCGTTTTGTTAAAAGTGCCTCGTGATGTGCTGCTAAATGGCTCGCTTGGTGCGCCGTTCTGGCGGATCTAGTGTCCGTGTACTTAATTCCTACATGCAAGGTCTGAGTTGTTTCTCGCGACACTGCCAAAGGTCGTATGATAGTTGTTTGATCGCAGCTCCTCGTGTCCTGCCGCCTAGCCCTCTCCCCCCGCGCCTAACCGGAGCGCGAGCTGCGGGCCTGCGCTACCAGCGCGCGCAGGGATGGCATTGACACGTCATGCTCGCCTGGGTCCGCTGTATCTCGGCGTGCGCTGCGTGCTCGGTGGCTGGTCCCCTGTGACCCACCAGCGGCGTCGGCGGAGCGGCACAGACTGTCGGGTCGAGTCCGGTCTGGCACGTGCTCCGACACCGACGGTAGGACGTGAACGCGGTCGGTGGGGTGGGGTGGGGGGGGGGGGAGTGGTAAACTTACTATGGTCTGCCATGTAATGAACAGGACTGGTGCTTCCTTCTCGCCCCAACGGTCTCGTTCCTGTTGTGTGTTTTCTGTTATTTGTGCTGTATTGCTTTTCTGCCACGGTGATAAAAATCGAGATTATCAGTATGCTTCCACTTGCGAAATCAGTGTAGTGTGTGCAAACGTGTTCTACGTACGGATGAATTTATGCTCTTCCGATGTACAAGCTTCCATCTGGTAGAAGCCCGTATACGCATGTACTTAATGTGTTACCAATGCTCTTTTGCTAAATAAAGCATAGAAATAATTTTTTTGTTTGCGGCTTGAGAAGCAGATGCAGCGAAATGGGTTGCAGATATACGTTCCGGACAAATTCTGCAGAACACACAACGGGCGACGCTGGTGTGACTTGTTAAGGGGAGCAGATGTCTACACGCGTCCGGGTGTCAGCTCCCTGACCACCGTCGACTTGGATGAATGCACCACCGCAAGGTGGGGTGGGGTGGGCGAGGCCACAGCAGGAGTTCACGATGTAGAGACTGCTCGACAGAACACGAATTGCAGGCAGTGGAGAAAAGAGAGACATTTTGTCAGACACCGCAGACAAAGCAACCAACCACCATCGGCCGTGCGCTCTGCCCGTCACCTCGACGCTGGCGCGCCCAGGCCGCACCTGCGCACCGCCCCGTGATCGCTCACAAGTGCCGCTCTAATGAGGGTGACACATCTGCACCAGTCGGGCCAGCTCGCCGCCGGTCGGCACTGACTGCTCCGCCGCCGCTGAGAGCGCCGGCCCGCCGCCGCCATGGCCCCGCGCGCCGCCCAGCCCTGGTTCGACGACACGACGGTGCCGGAGCCGCACGCGGCGCGCCGCCGTCAGATCCTGCAGGCGCACCCTGAGGTGCGCTCCCTGTTCGGCCACAACCCCGAGCTGAAGTGGCAGGCGCTGTGCCTGGTGGGCGTGCAGCTGTCGGCCGCCTACTACGCGCGCCTCCTCTCCTGGCCGTGGCTGCTGGTGGCCGCGTACGCGTTCGGCGGCTTCCTGCAGCACGGGCTGTGGTCTGTGATCCACGAGTGCAGCCACAACCAGGCGTTCGGCTATGCGCGGCCGCTGGCCAACCAGCTGCTGGCGATTATCGCCAACCTACCGATCGGCTTCCCTCACGCCGTCGCCTTCAAGCGCTACCACATGATGCACCACCGTTACCAGGGCAACCGCAAGCTGGACGCGGACGTGCCAACAGAGTTTGAGGCGCGGCTGTTCGGCACCTCGGCGCCCGGCAAACTGCTCTTCATCCTGCTGCAGCCGTTCTTCTACTACGTGCGGCCGCTGCTGGTGAACCCGCTGCCGCCGACCAAGCTGGAGGTGTTCAACATCGTCGTGCAGCTGTCGTTCAACTACTGGCTCGTCTCGATGTGGGGCTGGAAGCCGCTGGTGTACCTGCTGGGGGGCTTCTTCCTGACGATGGGGCTGCACCCGCTGGCGGGCCACTTCATCGCCGACCACGTGCAGCTGACGCCCGGTCACGAGACCTACAGCTACTACGGCTGGATGAACCAGCTCATGTGGAACGAGGGCTACCACAACGAGCACCACGACTTCCCCAACGTGCCGAACAAGCGGCTGCAGGAGCTGCGCGAGATGGCGTCCGACGTGTACGACCAGCTGCCGCACTACGACTCGTGGCCGGGCGTCGTGTGGCGCTTCATCAGCGACCCTCAGGTCTCGCTGGCGAGCAGGATCCGGCGGCTCGACATGCCGGGCCAGGCGCCCCGCACCGACGACAAGCTGACCGACTGACTGGCGACGGCAGCGGGACCGGACAGGAGGGCTTAGGCGCGGGGTCCCGCTCCAGCTGCGGCGCGCCAGGGCGCCCGAGCACGCGGGGTCCCGCTCCAGCTGCAGCGCACCAGCGCGTCCGAGCACGCGGCTCCCCGCTCTAGCTGCAGCGCACCAGCGCGCCCGAGCACGCGGGCTCCCCGCTCCAGCTGCAGCGCACCAGCGCGTCCGAGCACGCGGGCTCCCCGCTCCAGCTGCAGCGCACCAGCGCGCCCGAGCACGCGGGCTCCCGCTCCAGCTGCAGCGCGCCAGCTCGCCCGAGCACGCGGGGTGAAGTCCGTCACTCGCTGAGCTCGTTAACTCCCGTATGCACTCTAGACGTGGTTTTTGGCGTTTATAGCGTACTTGACAGGGGGTGTAGTTTCCTATTCAGTTGAGCGGCGGGCTTCAGCCCTTTCCCCAGCTTGGGGTCCAGCCCCTCCCCCTCCCCCTAGCTTTGGAAAGAAAGTGAGCCAAACCTGCGGAGATACCTGTTTGCTGGCATACTTTGGAGGTTGGTTGGGTCATTTGCCTTTATTCGGCCCCCACCCCGCACCAACTCATTTTGTGAAACTACGTCTACGGTCCTTCAGTTATAAACGCTGCGACTTCGGCGCGGGGATCAAGTGCAGCGCGGTAGTGCGGAAACACAGCTCGGATTCTGATTGAGACGTCCTGATTGTCGACCGGATATGACCGACCGTAAAGATAGGCTTGATATGCTCTCTGTCGTTCGTATTCTTTCGGTGACTCATACTTTCACCTAAAAAAGATCACCGCGGTGGCATATTTATGTAAGAACTGGCAAGGACAGATTGGTAATCTTTCTGTAAGTGTAGTTTAAGTACCGCTAAATATAGCTAATCCAAGAGCAGAAGATGCAGCAGTTGCACCCGGATTTTGATTCCGCAATGATATCAGAATTAAGCAAGCAATCCATCAACTCCAAAAATTCCGACGAAAGTTATCAAAACATACTTATGCCAGCCACTAGTACCAATGACTATTTGCACCCCTAAAGGAAAACTGTGACAGTGTAATTATAAGTTGCCATTTCGCAATTTTGCCCAACCTAGAAGAGGCGTTTCACTTACCCTCCAGATCAGAAAGGACATACCCTGCTGCTTCTATCTGTATGGACAATGACACTCACCTATTCACTATGTCAAACTCCGTAAAGTTACATCGACGCCAAGCGACAACAACCGCTATAACGCAAATGCAATTTGTTGTGAGCGCAATGTTTTAAGTCACCCATCAACAAGACTGGACTTTGGTGGTCATGCATCATCCGATATTGCACGTTCACCTAAAGCCGCTGCCAGTGTCGTTCCGTGGAATGCCAGCCAGTGTAAGCCATCGTCGGACCGCAAATCTGGTCTGGGCTTTATGGCATTGCAATGCCGGGTTTGGACACCGGCATCATTTCGTCACCATCAGGCTCCATTTCTAGGAAACCGCACACTAATTCACCGCATCCGAGGAGCGTGCCAAAAGACACGCATGTGTGGATATCTGAGACCCTCATTCAATGCACGTGAGGAGCTTGTTAAACGCGCTGTGATTTGATTCATGTGTGGTGAAGCTCGACATATGGGATAGATGGGCCAGCCTTCACTTTTTGAGCCCAGTAATGAGTGACTGTAAAGAAGGGGGCATGGATAAGAATGTTTTAACTAGACCACAGTCATTCCTCAGGTATGCACTAGTCTGGCAGCCATAATCCAGCGTTAAGTTGACAAGCACGCATGCCAGGCATCAGAAGCCAAAGCACCTGTCTCGGGCTGCTGCCAGGCGCCCGCTCAAGACAAAGTGTACCTTTTCAGTTGCCGCAGAACGAAGTGCGGACGCTGCTGTCTCCCACAGGCATTAAAACTTAAAACTACTTCTGTAGACGTGCACTCGCCGAGCAGGACTGGTGCAGCGCGTGCTCCCCATTCACGTCGCGGCTTTGTTAAGAACTTGAACATGCTCTTGATGCGTGGAAATGTACTCGCATCAAGTTTTTTGAAGTGAGCCGGATTGGTATTCTTTACTTAATGTTGTGTGCGTTATGTGTGTACGCCAAGGACAGATTTAGGACGTCATTAATGGAGGGACCACACTTCATTGTGGTGCTCCCTGGAACTTGGTGCCCCCCCCCCCCCAACAAAAAATCCCCGAATTGTGGCCTCTTGATTTCATTATGTTATTGACCAGCAAAATAGTTGCCAATGGAGCGGACCGCAGGATTTATCCCACTGTATCTCTAGGGTTCAAGTTCGTTTATGCCTATATTGATTGTTTACCAAAGAAGGGGTTAGAAGCGACCAGAACATGCAACTAGACATGTATTTATTCATTAAGCAAATCGAGTGACCTTTGCAGGAATTTAATGATTGCATTATGAGCAGCGTGCGCTATTCGCCTTCAATGGCTCATTCATACCTCCCTATGACACAGAAAGAGTTAGGGGCGTCGCCGGATTTGCTTTGGGTTTTTCCAAAGATGTTGAGAGGCCTGTGGATTGAATGCCAGCGTAGATCAAAACCGGATAAAAATATAATTGTCCCTAATCCCTGCTCACCTGAAAAAGTCCATTCTTTCATTGGAATCAAACAGTGAGAAAATGTGCTTAAGATAGTTTGCAGCATGTGCACTCGCCGTCTAGAACAAAGAATACCGGCATCCGACGTTACAGTACTATGGGCCGCCCGGCGGGGCCCCGCAATAATACCGGGGAGCGGCCAACGCGCGGGGGGAATCACCACGCATCGGAAAGTGGTACTTTCCAATCCTTTATGGAAACCATTGGTAAACATGTAGAACGTATTCCGGGTGGAAGGTTTCGCCTGTACGATTTGCAGCTTGCTCCTTAGGATGGATTAGCACTTATAGCACCACGAACTCATGACGTAATCGGGGAATTTCCCTTACTCTTCTTGCTGCAGATGCTACTTCCAAGCATCAACTTCGAAATTGACTAGCAGTGTCCTGGTCAAGAGCTGATGGGCATCCCGTCCCACCGCGGGGTCCCTAGCAGCTGCCATTCCGGCGATACGGGGACAGCGGCCCCCGGTCGGTACGGAGAACATTGGAGGGATGCATCACACACCGGCCCACTCCCTGATGTGGAAGGCCCTCTGGCCAGGCCACGACGTCTTGTATTAGGGATTGGTTTCGCAAACAGTGACACTGGTCGCTTTCCGGTCGATTAATGGTCCACCCCGGAGTGGGACAGCTTTGAGAAACCTTAGCGAGTTGTAGCAGGAACATCGGCTTCATGCATTAGCGAGTTGTAGCAAGAACATTGGCTTCATGCATTCATCTGCTTTGGTTGCTGAGAGCATTTTCATCACTTCCTTTTAAAAAGCCCCAGAATGTGCAAATTCATCGTTTACGCCCGCGCCAGAATTTCACCTCGGCTCGCTGCGACGCTGGGCCATCGAAACCAGACCAGTTTCCACCTATCTCTTCAAATTTCTGCAGTTTGGAATTGTCTTTTTTCTACCTTAATCGAGTAGCGGAGGTGGAATCGTGATGATGCCACAACGTTGAAGGAGACGCCCGTCCTATCAAACAGCTTGCCTCATTATTTATACAGAGGAATTTTACAGAACCGCGCCTCATGTTGCTGAAAACTGCATGAGCTTTCAGTCTGTTGTGGCAAAGAATTATTATTCTAGAAAGAGTGAGGACCGGATCTCAAGTTGAAAGTCTTTAATAGTTCCAAGTAAACGTGCTCTGCCTGTGGGCTTTCGGCAATAAAAGATTTAATAAACGTTCAGCATTACGGAGCCCACTGAGGCGTTTCATTCATTTGAAGCCAATCGTCCGTCGCACCTACAGACTGACGCATGTAAAGCGGAAACATTCCCAGCTGCCACTGCCAGAGCAGATTGTGGGCTGGCGCGCCCGCCCCCGGGCGCGCCGGAAGCCCAGCTCTCAGCGTGCAGGCCGTGTCACGAGCCGGCTAATTGGGACGGCAGTTCGGCCGCTCTTTCTGTGTCGGCTTCCGCGGCGGACGTCCGTGTTGCCGACCTGCGGCGCCGATTACGCGGGTCGCTGCTCACGACGCGCCGCCGCCGGCGCCGGCGGCGGGGAAACGCCGCCGCCGGGTCACCGAGGTCGCGGCGAACAGGACGCCGCGCCGCCGGCCGATACCGCTGACGGCTCCGAGGCGCCGACCGCCGATCGTGCGCCGACGCGGAGCTCGCGCGCGCGCGCGCGATTTCTCGCCGCTTGCGGCGAGTCGAGCGGAACCGTTCGGTCGGCAGGAATGAAATGGCGGGCTGCCACGCCGTCTGTGCATTTCCTTTCGTTTCTTTTCAGCTTCCTGTGATGTCGAAACTTGCTCGAATCATCGCTGCGGGGGCCGCGGGTCCCCAGCGCACTGACGTTGTCCGGCCTACCAGCGGCAGCCAGCGTGCCTTCCGGGAAAGGTTGTGCACCATGGCGCTGACCTTGGCTGAGTAGTGATCGTCGTCCGTCTCGCGGGAAACAATGGGTGGAGAATGCTGTGCGACAGGTGTGGCAGCGGTCACGCTAACATAAGCGTCAGCTTTACCACAGGTGACAGCAGAATACCAAAACTCAGGGGTGCACGTGCATAGCAGCCCACGGGAACACAGGCACTCGATACTAAATTTATGGCGTGATCAACATGTATGTGACTGAATGGGCTTGGATAGAATTCCTGGTAGGGACCTGAAAACAAGATCGTGGCCGTGCCGTGTTCCTTCACGACACGCAGGGATTGCACGCGCCTGCGCTGCACTGAACTCGGCTTTAAATTAAAAGTTTTTAACTGTGCCCCACAATCTATAGTGTATTTCTGCGAGCGCCCCTAAAAAGTAAGCATTTAGTCTGCGAATGGGGTTTTCTCTGCTTTTTTGAAACGCCGGCTTTCCTCAGTTTTTTATTCTGCTTGAGAAACAAGTGGAAGCATTACAATATGTGTGTAATGCGTGACTCAGACAGCAAGCCAGGCATTCCAAATGCAA